TGGTAGAGCACTTACCTAGCATATGCAAGGCCCTGGGTTCAATCCTAAAACTGCAAAAACAACAAAAAAGAAAGACAAGGTGTTGATCACTGCTTAAGCGGCAGGCTTCATTTACCTGAGAGCCACTCCTGACCTTTTTTTTTTTTTTTTTTTTTCCTGTATTTTATGGAAGGGTCTACAGGGTGTTCAGGATCTCACTACTAGATAGGACTCATAGTGATCCGCCTGTTTACAGCCTCCCAAGTGCTGGGATTACAAGCAGGCGCCACCACGCCCAGTCTCAGTCGCTGTCTCAGCGCACGCCTGCCGCTTAAGCAGTGATCAACACTGCTAATGATTTTGAAAGGGAAATAAAGAAACGCCCTGAAAAAGCAATTTAAAAGTCTGTCCCTGTGAGGCTTTGTGGTAGATGCCTGTAATCTTATCTCTTCTGGGGAGACTGATGCAAATTCTAGCCTCTCCTAGGAAAACTCAGCAACACCTTGTCTCCAGATGAAAAGGGCTGGAAATAAAGCTCAAGTCTGTACCTACTGTTGCTGTGAGCCAGTGCTCTTGCTTGTCAGTTTTCAGTTTCTTTTTTTCCTTTCTGGCTTCAGTACTCTTGACTTTTTTTTCTTCTCTTGCTGCCTTCTGTTTTCCCTCACTTTCTGTCTTCCAGATTAACCTTCCAACTGCTTCAGATTCACTGATCTATTTGATAAAATGGTCTGCTCCTTCCTTCGGCATGGTGGCAGCAACAACTAGGCCCCAGCTAGCAGTAGAGCATTCACTCTCTGTCTGAAATGCTGGCCAGACTATCTCTTTGACAAGGTTTCATTTTTCAGAGGAATTCATAAAACCACCTAGTTGTATTTTGTCCATTTCTGTTTTTCTCGTATCAAAGCTAATTTGAATGTTTGGCAAATGAGTGACAACTCCTTGTAGGCCCTTGACCAGAAGAAACCTTTCTTTTGCTCAGTTCTGTTGTCTTCCTTGGTGCATACCACTTAAGAGGAGCAAACAGCAGAGAGGAATGAGGTGCCCTCCTCACTTCTGGACTCCAAACCTTTGCACACCAGTATGGTGACAGATGCCACTGTCAGATGTAGCAGACACTGACACATACTGGGGGAAATGAAGTGCAAAGGCTCGGTTCTCAACCAAACTCATGCAGTGTGCAATTGATAATAAATAACTCAGGAAAAGCAGTGCAGAACCTGCTTCCATGAGAGATGAGGCCATGCTCCCAAGCTGTCAGGACACAGCCTATTTGGATTGTTCTTCTCTTGCTGGGGCCAATACTGATTTTTTAAAAAATTAAAGAATAAATAAACATAAGATACCTTTAAATTTTAAAAGCAATAGAAAAATAAATGAAATAAAAGCAATAGGGTCAGGAAGATACCTGCCTAGCAAGTACAAGGTACCTGCCTAGCAAGTACAGGATCCTGAGTTCAATTCCCAATACCAAAAATAAAATAAAGTTGCTTCCTTGTCCTAAAAATTTGGGAAACTATTAAGACAGGAGAAATATTGGCAGATATATGTTGGTTTGTTACAATAGTCCCAAGATAGATCAATAATATGTACAAAACTATACTGCTGTCTGGTAACAGAATATTTTCTCATAAATGACCATTTATCTATAGAGGTAATTAACCATTCAATGAAAGGCTCCTCCTTTTTTTTCTGTATTTTAGGGAAGGGCCTACAAGGTGTTCAGGGTCTCACTACTAGATCGGACTTGTAGTGATCCGCCTGTTTACAGCCTCCCAAGTACTGGGATTACAGGCATGTGCCACCACCCCCACTCTCAATTGCCATCTCAGTATGCCCCAGGGGTTGGGCCAGCACAGCAGGCCCAGGGATCTAACCCTGGGCCCGTGCGCCTGCTTGTAGGCATTTTAATCCGCTAAGCTATTTGCCTGGTCCTGGTCCCCCCTTTTTTAATGGTTAAGATGAATACAATAATTATCCTTTGTATTTGTCCAGACAAAATTCCAAGAAGTTTATTTTATTTTTATTTTTATTTTTTTATTTTTTTT